GTTACAGGAGATGGTACTAACGATGCTCCTGCGTTGAAAGAAGCAGATGTAGGATTGAGTATGGGTTTATCCGGCACTCAAGTAGCCAAAGAGGCTTCCGATATTATTATTCTTGACGACAATTTTTCTTCAATAGTTAAGAGTGTCTTGTGGGGAAGGTCCATCTTTGAAAATATTAGAAAGTTTTTAACATTCCAGTTGACTGTGAACGTGGTAGCTCTCGTGCTCACTATTGTTTCTGCCATTAGCTCAACCTTTGTGAACGAGTCAGGAGGATTTAAACCACCTTTGAGTCCTGTTCAAATGTTGTGGATTAACTTGATCATGGACACATTTGCGGCTCTTGCCTTGGCCACAGAACCTCCAATCCCAGAGTTATTGGACAGAAAACCTTACGGAAGAAAAGAAAGTTTAATTACACCAAGGATGTGGGTGTTCCTTTTGGGTCAATCAGTGTTCCAATTGACTGTGCTCTTCACATTGTATTATGGAGCTACGAGTTTTAGAAATGGAGCATTTTCGTTTGCTCGTAACGATGATGAGACTAGAACCGTCGTGTTCAATGCCTTTGTTTTTTGCCAAGTTTTTAACGAGTACAATGCTAGAAAGATTAACTTTGAGTATAATATTTTCTCGGGTCTATTCAAAAGCGCTTGGTTCATTTCCATCAGTGGTATCATTATTGTATTGCAAGCTCTCATTATTAATTTTGCATATTACGACCCAACCTTAATTGCAACTGGAAAGAATGATGGGCTTCATGCTTCTCACTTTACTCAAACAATCCCTCTCAATTGGTATCAATGGATGTTAACAATGTCTATTGGCTTTTTGAGTATTCCTTATGGATTCGTGATCAGATTTGTGAGTAGGATGGTTCTTCGAGTGATTAGTAAGAAGAACACAAAGAATAGAATTGCAGACGAGTTTTCTGAGAGTGCCACCCCAGAAAGTGAATTGTAGTCAAAACGATGCATTGCTTCAAATAGAATAGGTGTTGAATGTAAGACGCTTGTTGAAACAGGATGACAGCATTAGGATTGGTTGTGTTAGCACGGACACGAACAGCCTTACTAGGAACAAGTTACGATGAAACAACCAATCAAGTGATCCAAATGATAAATAAATCTTCGGAGTTTTTAATTAAAAATCGATCTGCTCACAATAATTATTGTTGCTTCTTGGTTTCGTTTCTCTTCTTCACACCGAAATTGTAAACTCGAGACATGTTCACTTCAGTCGTCGTCTTTTGCTCCTTCAGATAGGCAATATCTTCATTGATTTCGCTTAGCTTTTGTTCTGCCAATGCAACATTCTTATTAAGTAATTCCATAGCTTCGTCCAAAGAATATTCGACCATAATATCGCAACCCAACCAGAGAGCAACACGATCAGTTTTCGGAATGATTGCCTCAGCAAAAACTGTTTCGTCGAGTTTAAAGTGTGTTTCAATCTTGTCAGAGGCATCAGTTTCATCATCTCCTTCAAAACTCTTCTTTAAGAATTTAACTGATTCAATGGTCTTTTTAATATCCGGAATTTTGACTTTTAATTGTTCACGAGCTTCATGCAAACGATATTCAAAGATTTGGTATTGTTGATGTTTTTGGTTTTGATCTCTATAGATTTGAGAGATTGTGTCTTGAATATCGGAAGAACCTTTCTTGTTGACCAATGCTTCAACATCTTCCTGTTGAGGTCGGAATGAGTGAATGATTGAATATCGTTGAAAATGTTAAGACATTCAATGATGATGCACAAGTTCGGGTTTGAAGTAAGAGTTTCATCCGTGCCAAACCGATGTGTAATGAAAAAGTTCCAAAAGAGCAAGAGAGAAAATTAGTGATGATCATCATGTATTGAACAATATCATCAACGATTCCGTCCGAATTTGTATCAATTTTTGTAAGAGTTAATAATAATAAAATCAGGAGTATGATAATTATTGTTCCAATCTTGAAATATCACCACTACTATGAATTACATACAATAAAATCAGCCTTTGGAATTTTTCTTGGGTTTTGATAATTGTCGGGGAAACCGTGCAAAAGGTACTCGTTCACGTTTGATGATGACATTTTTTTTGTATGTTGTATTTGACGATGAAGAAAGCTTTCACAACAATCTAGGGATGGAAATGAAAGATACTTCTACATGTAAAACTAGCGTTGGTTTTTATTGAATTGAGTGATTGGATGGCCTCTATAGAACATTTCTTACGTCTTGCCTAAAAGTTATGAGATTGCCTGTGAATTTGTCACGATTTTTAGCTTCCAAATTCATCTCAACACCGTCCATGAGTTTATCAAAGGCTTCTCTCACTTTGGTGATCCTTTCAGGGTCATTTCCAGCCACTGAACTAATTATACCCTGCTTCAATGTTTCATAGAATGGAGGATTGAGTACAATGAGCACTAACATGGTTCTTGACAAACTCCACTGATTACCACACTCTTCTAAAATAATAATTCTGAAAAATTGAGAAAGCATGTTTGGAATGAGGTCAATATTTTGTTTAAGGTGACTGGCTAATAGCTGGGCATCTGGTGTATTCTTTTTCGCTTGAGTATAGTAGAAGGTAAAGAGATTGTCGAGTGCTGCACAAATCTGAGAGGATAATCCCAAATCTTCAATCGAGACACCTTCTTCGAGTGACTTTAAAATTTGCAAAAAGATTGGTGTTTCAAACTTGATAATGGTATGCGTATGTTCTTGGAATAGAGTCTCCATAAGGCCATAGTATGCTCGGCATAATTTTGGATAGGCCATAATCTCAGAGTATGGAATGCTGAGTGCCAAACGTAGCACAGTATTCAAAACTTCATTCAATGACGGATCCTTGTATAAATCAAACACACCAAAGTTGCAATACTTTCCAGCAAGACATCTCGATAAAATGTTCATACTTGTACAAATTCCCTTATACTTTTCGTCATAGGCCTTATCTCGGATGGGCACATTTTGTAAACGTTGACCATAGTTTGTAAGAATGGAGCTGGTTTTTTTAAAAATTAAAATTCCATGTGGTGAGCTGTAACTAAAACAAATTCTTTGGTTCTTGTTGAGGACAAAATCTGCCAAGAACTTCAGCAATGAATTCATGACGAATTGATTGTCATACCATACTTGAGCTGCCTTCTCTAAAATACTGCTATACTTGTCGAAAAACCAGTCAAAGAAAAATGTATAGGTCCTCTTGTTATTGCAACCAATGACAATACCTCTCAAATCACGACACCAGCCAATCAAGGCATTCTTGACTCCATCTTGTTTGAAAACTTCTGGGTTATCGATGGCATTGAGACGATCACTGACCGATTCGAGTGGCTTAATAAATGAAAGAAAATCATCTTCTGTATAGTTTTGAAGGAATAATAGCTTGCAGAGTGTCTTGTAGAAGGCAGTTCGTTGTCTCAGGTTGGTGATTTCATTCAGGAATGGGAAGTTTTCTGGGCCATGATTCAACAACAAGTATCGAGTAGTTTCAAGTTTGGATGCGAGTTTTGCACTCAAATAGCCAGAGGCAATATCATCGAATAAACTCATTGTTTCAGTAACAATATTGTCGATACGAGCCCATACTTTAAGATTACTAGCTATTTTTCCAATGAAAATGTTCAACACTTGAAGTTGTTCTCCTGCAATATTCAACAATTCGTAAAGTCTTGTAAATATCTTTGGGGTACTGCTATTTCCAACAGAGCCAGAAGCGTCTCCCAAATATGACTTTTTAAAACTTTTCATGAAATAGAGGAGAGAAAATTCCAAATGTTGCAAGGATGCATCATGCAAGTAGTCAGTGTGAGAATAATTCTTAATTCTAATATCAATTAAAGGAATGAGTCTTAGAATTCTGGCAGATAATGTACCGTCCAATAATTCTGCTTCTTCCACAGATAATGAACTGACATATCGCTTTCCAATAACTGAACCAACGATATACGTTAGCCAAGTGAGCTTTAGCTCTAATTCGTTTAGAGTTGGTAGTGGAATATTTGTGTTCACTGCTTCTATATACATTTGTAGAACTGGATCAAAAAGTTCAGTCAAATGCTGTCCTGAAACTTTGTAATCAAAGTGAATGAGTTGTGGTATAGCATCAAGCTGTTCATCGAGATTTTCCTTGTGTTCCAAAGGATTTTCAACACTGTCATCATTGGCACACAATCTCGCATACTCTAATCTGGAAATGGTGTATTGCTTTGAAATCTCTGGAACATACTTGTCGAGATAGCTTTCGTGTTCTGCTTTGAGATAGGGTTTGGAGGCAACAAGTCTCGACCACAAGTTTAAAATGTAATAAACGCTTTGGTTAGACCATTCCAAAGACTTGAAACTCTCTTGAGAAAATGTAGCACTCAAATCTAGCCATTGTACATAACCTTTACAAATGACAAACTCGTTCAACTGGAAGTTGGATTTGATTCGTGCCAAGAGTCTGCAAAATTCATTATACGTGTCTTGATCATCAAGTCCAAATCTCGTTTTCAAAACTGCAGACATGCCATCAATAAATTTCGAAAGAAAATCCTTTCTCTCATCATCGCCTGTAAATAATGACCTTCTCACGCTGCACAATAGCACAAGAATTTGCAAGACATCTTTACGAAGTTTTGGATTTCCAAGAGTTGAATATAAATTCCAAAAAAGTTCCAACGTGTCCGATTCCTCAAACAAAGGTCTCCAAGCTCCAGGTATCTGAATGGTTCCTACATCTTCCGATGATTCATCTGGAAAAATACCGACAAAGTCAAATTTAAGACAACTTAGTGTCAATTCTAAGGCTTCTTGACAAAGAGCCTCGTTGGCCTGAAGATTATTATTCATTCCTCCAATATTGAGGCCCATTCCACTCAAAGATCTCAATACATCTTTCAATGTAAAAAGAGAAGTTTCAAAAATGCCTCGCAATGCCAAATCTCTGAATGAGACTGCAATTTTACGATGTTGAGTTAAGCTTTTTCGTGTTGTTAATGTGTTCATTTCTTCAATGATGCTGTTTAAAATTCTGAGTCCAACAATGGAAAGTTGTGGGTTCGTAACTTGTATAAAGTACTTTTTAATTTGCTCGGAAGATCTCGATTTTGTTGATCCTCTAGCCATCCCAATTTTGTTAATCTACCAACGAGTTTCAGTAATCCTGATGATACAAACTTGGGAACTTCAATTCCTCTCTTTGCCAGATAGTTTAATAAATAATTTCCTATTGTTGACGGAGTCGAAATAAGAGATGTTGATTTCAAATAGAGAATAATAGTAGTGTACCGGAGTGATACCATTAATATGTAGACATGGTTTTGTTTTCGAAATGCACAAAAATAATGTTCATAGTAACGATGGAAATAAAGGATTAAATCATTAAACAACATGCCAAGAGTTGTTGGACAAATACTCTTTTACAAATTGTTAAAACTTACTCAAATCGGTCTTCTTTTCTGCGGAGAAGCTATTCCAATTATTTGTAATCATCTTGGTAATTTGTGAGGATGCAAAAAAGAGAGCATGAGGATCTACACTTGCATCGAATATCATGATAAGCTTTGGATAATTCTCCAATTTTTGGAACATGTGGAGTTGTCTCTCCGCTTCTTTTCTATCGTTATCAACCTGGCCGTAAATGGATCTACAAAGAGATTCAAATTTAACAAGATCTTCCTGGGACATCATTTTCGTAGAGAGTATTAGAAGAGCGTGTAGAAGTCAGAAATTGAAACAGTGAGTAAAAAATACTATGATTCTTCAGAAGGATGAATACTATGATGATGATGATTTTGAATAATTTTGAATTATTGTGTGTTTTCGCGGATGGAAGCGGCTTTGGGCCAAACACACAAGAAAAACAAAATTATTGCGGATTTGATGATGAAAAAATATAAATTCACCACTCGTTGCAAGCTTTGATGCTGAGTGTTGATTTGGGAGGAGAGCTGTGTTGAGTAGAGGTGTTGTTGTTGTTTGGTCCGCTCGAGCAGCAAATTGGCCAATGATCTTTTTTTTTCTTGGATTTGGAATTCTGTGTGGGCGCCAAGTTGAATGTGCCTTCCTTGTTTACGCAGAATATCAAAGGACACCATCAAAATAACATTCACCTGGCTCATAGTTGAAACACTTCTTTGAGAGTGATCAAACAGGTGGTTGAATTATTTTTGAAGTTAAGGAAAGAAATAGATCTATCTCTTACTGGCATCAATATACAAGGACACTTCCTTATTTCCAAATTTCGAAAAGCCTAACTAAATCGTAATCCCAACAGATCAGTAGTAGAGACACCTGACTTGCCCCAAAGGTACACACATAAAAAAACAGTCTCACACAAAGAGCGAGCGAGAGGCACACATTGTGCACAGACTTGATCATCACGATGCTTTCGTACATCCTCCTTCGCAACCAACAAGTGCAGCAACTGATAACAATGTTTGCATGTCTGGTTGCTGCTCTTCACATCGCCCTTGTGTCGTCATGTGGCATGGTCTCTTCCTCGCATCCACCCTCTTTTCCTGTCTATAACATTTCAAACCTTGCTGGTGGTTTTGAACGGGGTGATGGTTATGAACTTTCCAAAGCCACTCTCGGATCCATATTCGGAGGTATGACCTTGCTCGATCAACCACCACGTCGAGCGTTATACTTGACAGATACCAGTAATTCGTTATTGAGAAGGATTGATTTGGTGCAATCATCCATTCAGACTGAAATGAGATTCGAACCACCACTCATCTCATTACCTGCTGGTGTGCAACCTCTCTATTCTCATACAGTATTTAATACCAATACTTTTGAAAGTTTTGTTTGTGATCGAAATGCTCACGTGATTCATAGAATTCATTCGAATGGAACTGCAAGCTCAGTATTTGCTGGTGTGTATCATAGGTCTGGATATAATGGAGATTCCATACCAAGTAATTCATCATGGTTGAATACTCCAATGGCATTGGTTGTGGATCCAAAGAGTGGAGATTTGATTGTGGCCGATTCTTTGAATCATCGAATTCGTAAAATTTCTGCATTGACAGGTTTGATTACAACCATTGCAGGTACGTTTGAAATATTAATATCAATCCTATTAAGAGTGACACATAACTATTCATTGGGATTTGACTCTTCATTCTTTCAAATTCTCTGTATTGTGAAAATATTCATGTCATCACCGTTTGTATGTTGACTCACAAAAAAAAGGTAACGGTCAATTTGGATATAGTGGAAACAATGGACTGGCTATTGATGCAACTCTTAATGCTCCATCGTTTATTGCACTTTCACCGCTCACCAATGAGTTGTACATTGCCGATACCAATAATCATGTCGTTCGAAAAATTACACCGAATGGAGCCATTGTCACTGTGGCAGGAAGTGGCTTACCTGGTTATAGTGGAGATGGATCAGTGGCAACCGCTTCCGAATGTCGATTGAACTCTCCACAGGGAATTGCTTTGAATCCGTTCAATAATGATTTGTACATTGCCGATACCTTTAATCATGTGATTCGAAAAGTGTCATTTGAAACTGGTGTGATTACAACTGTGGCTGGAAATGGAACTGCAGGATTTAATGGAGATGCTTGGAGTGATGCAACACAAGCTCAACTTTTTGCTCCTTCTGGTGTTGCTGTAGATCCATTGAGTGGAGATGTGTACATTGCAGATGAAGGAAATTTACGAATTCGAGTTTTGAATTCTCGAGCTGGAATATTGTTCACATTGGTTGGAAGTCGTGGAGTTTCGTATTTCACAGGTGATAATGTACCAGCTCTAGAAACCAATTTACAATTTCCGAAAGGACTTGCTCTCTCCAATGATGGCTCGTCATTATTTGTGGCTGATTCTTCACTTAATAGAATTAGAAAAGTTTCACTCACATCAGCAGATGGATCCAATTTCATTCAAAGATTTGCTGGAAGTGGTGCTGTTGGTTTTGGATTGGAAAATGTCGAAGCAGTGCTGGGTCAGTTGACTCAACCTGGAGGTGTGTTTGTCGAATCGAATGGAAATGTATTAATTGCTGACTCGGCCAACAATCGAATTCGAAGAGTCAACATTGCACAAGGAACCATTCAAACCATTGCTGGAACTTCCGTTTTACATGGTTCTGAGACCATTTTAGAGAGTGCATTCTTGAGAAATCCATTGACTCTTGCCATTTCTCCTCTCACAGGCGACATTTTCATTGCTGATCTTAATAACCATATCATTCGAAAAGTAGATATTCGCACTCGAACTATTTCCACGTTTGCAGGTACTGCCGGATTGTCAGGTGACAGTGGTGACCATGGGCCTGCCACTCGAGCACTCATTTCCTATCCGCGAGCAATTGCAATTTCTCCATTGACTGGAGAAGTCTATTTCTCATGCAGTTCCAAAGTGAAGAAAGTCTTGTTGAATGGCACTCTTGTGACTGCTGCTGGTACAGGTGCCTTCAATTACACGGGTGATCATGGGTTAGCTACTGAGGCAACATTTAAAAATCCAACGAGTCTTGCTTTCATGTCGAATGGAGATTTGTTAATTGGTGACACTGGTGCCTTTGTCATTCGTAAAGTCTCGGCCTCCACAGGAATCATTACCACTCTCGCAGGAAATGGGACCTATGCCAATGTTCGTAATAGTGGCGATGATGGAAATGCCCTGAATGCTCAATTTCGATCTCTCTCAACTATTTCTGTGGGTAGAGATTCAAATTCATTGGAGGTGGTGTACGTGGTAGATAATTTGAGTGCCTTAATTCGTAAAATTTATCCAGTCGATGCCAATAACCAATACATGATTACGACGATGATGGGATTGGGAGATTCCCAAACGGAGGGAGCTTCTGCTTCTTCATGGAAGTTAATTTCACCTAAAAGCGTGAAAGTGTCTCCCTCGAACGGCGAATTGTACATTGTGGAGGCTTGTTCCCTCGTTAAGGTATCTGTGGAGGGACGAGTGCAAACCATTGCTGGAACAACGAAAATACCTACTGTAACATGTGGTTCTTTCAATGGAGATGGACTTGCTCTGACTCGAGTGTTTGAATCGTTGCGAGATGTGGCACTATTGAATGAAACTGTGTTGTATGTTTTGGATGATAGTCGACTTCGAGTCTTGACCATGTCGTTGAACGAACAACCCAACGCAATGATCATGGTATCTACACTGATAGGACGAGAGGGAGATGGAGGACCAGCACTCTTGGCCAAATTTCAACAACCCACTTCCGTATTTTCCACCCCTGATGGTACGATCTATATTGCGGATAGTAATCATCACAGGATTAGGAAGATATCAGCACAGACTGGAATCATTTCAACCATAGCTGGAGTGGGATCATGTTCCTCAGCTGGGGATGGCTCGGCAGCCACTTTGGCTTCATTGTGTTTACCAATGAGTGTAGTGGTCGATTCCATGTCAGGAGAAGTTTTTATTGCAGACACGATGAATCACAAGATTAGAAAAATATTCTCGAATGGAACCATTGTGAGTATTGCTGGAATGAATTCATTAGTTGGAACATCGAACGGAAATATAACAACAGGTTAGTATTTGTGTGTGTATGCTGGTTGGATGGGTTTCAATAAGGTACCTTAACACTTTTTTCTTGGTATAATGGTTTTTATTGGGTTTGAATTTCAACTACTTTGAAAAACTCAAACCTCTCACCTTGTGTTTTATCCCTTACACGTTCAGAGGATGGAGTCGATGCTCGATCCATCCAATTGAATCAGCCCACCAGTCTTTTCCTTTCTCCAAAAGGTTCTCTCTATTTCTCTGATTCTCGAAATTATAAAATTCGCAGAATCACTCCGAATGGTCTGATTTGGACCATTGCAGGAAATGGAACTGCAGGCTATCAAGCAGCATCTTCTCTGGCCACTGAAACTCCCCTTAATGCTCCACAAGGACTTGTCATTTCACGACACACTGGAGAATTATTTATTGCAGACACGTACAATCATCGCATTCGAGTCATGAGACCCTATTGCCTCAATCATTGGCATTGGGACGCCGAGTTGGAAGAATGTTTGCCATGTCCTAAAGGCTACACAGGCATTCAATGCCAAGTTCCCATCTGTTTTGGTTTTCGTAACGATTCCAATTTGTCATGTAATCGGAATGGAATTTGTATGGCACCCGATACTTGCAAGTGTTTGAATCAATGGAGTGGATTGGATTGTTCCATTCTGAATTGTGCCTCTGTATCGTTTGATGATCCAACGAAATGTGTCTCTTCCGACTCTTCTTCCTCGAGTTCTCAAACCAAAACTGAAACCATTCCTCAACTAGAGAATCTCTCCTCGAAAACTATTAATTTCACCACCGACACGAGTGTGAAAGCACAATTTCCATCCACACTGACTCAACATTTAATTGAGCAAGGAGGTCTGAATCGTTCTCAACCCATCACTGTGTTGAGTTCGCTCTATATTCCACCAAGTCAGAGTCAAAATCGAACACAGACAGAGGCTCCCGTGTTGAGTTCTGTCTTGACCATTTCACTGTATAATTCACAGGGGCAGAAAATTTCTGTACAGAAATTACAGGAACCAATTGAATTGTTCTTTTCAAATATTCATGTTTCAGGAGAGTCCTCCTCTGCTATGACAAGTATTGAGCATGTAAATATTACTTGCATGTATTTCAATGAAGAAAAGAAGGAATGGGCAAGCGATGGAATTGTTTCTCATCTCCAAAGTT